CCTCATAATCAGTCCTCCTCCTCCTCCTCCGCCTCGTCTTCCTCCTCGTTATCCTCATCCCCCCTCCCCCTCCGCATACACCTCTCACTCATCATTCTCCTCTTCCTCCTCCTCCTCCGCCCCCTCCTCCTATGCCTCCTCCGCGTCAGGGCATCAGTATGGTCATCGTCCTCCTCCTGCTGTTCCTCCTCCTCCTCTTCCTCCTCATCCTCATCATGCTCATTCTCCTCCTCCGTCTCATCCGCCTCCTCCTCCTCATCATCATCTACTCCTCCTCCTCCTCCTCCTCCTCATCGTGTTCCTCCTCCTCCTCGTCCGCGTCCGCCGCATCCTCCTCAGTCTCCTCCGTTGCTTCCGCCTCGTCTTCCTCCGCATCCTCCTCCTCAGCATCCTCGTCCTGCTCCCCCTACTCGACCTCCATGTTCTCATTCTCCCCACCCTCCTCCACCTCATATTCCTCCTCCCCCTCCTCATCATCCCTCTCCTCCTCCTCATCATCAGCATCACGGTCATCATCAGCCTCCTTCTCCTCGTCCTCCTCGTGCTCGTCCTCATCCGTCTTTGCCCCCCCTCCTCACGCCAAATTCCTGACTCCTTCTCTCAACTCATCCTCCCCATCCGCATCGTCCGCATCCTCATCCGCCTCCTCCTCGTCCTCCTCCCCCTCCTCACTCCGCATCCCCGACTCCGCGCTCTAACCCGTCCTCACCCTTCTCCCCCTCATCATCATCCGCATCATCATCATCCTCATCAGCATCCTCCTCCTCCTCCTCCTCCTCCTCCTCCGCCTGCGCCTCCCCCCTCCCCTCCTCCTCCTCCTCCTCCTCCTCCTCCTCCTCATCCTCCTCCTCCTCCTCCTTCTCCTCTCTCCTCCGCCTCCTCCTCATTCTCCTCCTCCTCCTCCTCATACGCGTCCGTCTCCTCCTCCTCATCCTCCTCCTCTTCTTCAGCAAGGCCTCATTATGGTTCTCGTCCTCCTCCTCCGCCGCCGTCTCATCCTCCACATCCTCCTCCTACTCCTCCTCCTCCTCATCCCCCTCCTCCTCCTCCTCATCATATCATCATCATCATCATCATCATCATCATCATCATCATCATCATCATCATCATCATCGCCGCCTCCTCCTCCTCCCCTCCCGCCTCTCCCCCTCCTCCTCTCCTTCCTCCTCCCCCTCCTCCCCCTCCTCCTCTCCTTCCTCCTCCTCCTCCTCCTCCTCCTCCTCCTCCTCCTCCTCCTCCTCCTCTCATTCACCCTCCTCCTCCTCCTCCTCCTCCTCCTCCTCCTCCTCCGCCTGATGCTCCTGTTCCTCATGCTGCTCCTCCTACTCCTCCTCCTCCTCCTCATCATCCTCCTCATCATCCTCATCGTATTCCTCATCATCCTCGTCTTCTTCGGCGTCCTCGTATTCTTCGTATTATGAGTATGATCATCATTAGTAGCATTCGTCTTCGTATTACTAGTAGTGGTATCATTAGTCTCAGTGCTATCATTAGCAAATTCGTAGTAGTATTAATCGTATTCGTATTATCCGTACTAGTATGCTTGGTATTATTCGTATCCGTATTACCATTAGTGGTATTACTAGTATTAATAATGTTTTTCGTCATCTTATTCGTCTTCGCAGTCGTCTTCTTGTTCGTCGTCGAATTCTTAGGATTTGCCGTATGGTGCTTCTTATTATTATGAGTTTTCTGATTAGTATTATCATTATTATTAGCAGTATCATTATTATTATGATTATTGTTATTATCATTCTTAGTATTAGTAGTAGTAGTAGTAGTAGTAGCAGTAGCATTAGCAGTAGTAGTAGTAGTAGTAGTAGTAGTAGAAGTAGTAGTAGTAGTAGTAGTAGTAGTAGTAGTAGGGTTCTTCTTATTATTAATCGTCCTCCTCCTCCTCCTCCTCCTCCTCCCCTCCTCCTCTCCTCCTCCCTCCTCCTCCTCCTCCTCCTCCTCCCCCCCCCCTCCTCAACCACCACCTCTTCCTCCGAGTATGCTCCTCCTAATTCCTCACGGTTCACGCCTCACCCTTCATTCCTCACTCCGCACTCTTCATTCCTCGCTCCTCACCCCTCACTCCACAAGTTTCCCTCTCCCCACTCCTTTCTGCCCAGCCAACACTCCCCATCCATAACTCCACACTCATTTGTCCTCCTCTTCCTCACCCACAACCACCACCACCACCATTACCACCAGCACCACCACCGCCACCACCAGCATCATCATCAGCAGCAGCAGCGTCATCATCATCAGCATCATCATCAGCATCCTCCTCATCAACATCATCATCATCATCATCAGCATCATCATCATCATCATCATCATCATCATCATCATCATCATCATCAGCGTCATTGTCATCATCAGCATTATGATCATCATCCTCATCATCATCAGCAGCATCAGCATCACCATCGTCATCGTCATCGTCATCATCATCGCCAGCATCATCGCCAGCATCAGCAGCAGCTGCACCATCATCATCATCATCATCATCATCGTCGTCATCATCATCACCACCACCACCACAACCACCACCACCACCACCACCACCATCATCATCATTATCATCATCATCATCATCATCATCATCATCATCATCATCAGCATCATCATCATCATCAGCATCAGCATCAGCATCAGCAGCATCATCATCAGCAGCAGCATCAGCCACATCATCATCATCAAAATCACCGGCATCATCATCAACATCATCATCAGCATCATCATCGTCATCACCACCCCCACCGTCATCATCAGCATCACCATGATCAGCACCACCATCATCATCATCATCATCATCATCATCAGCGTACTCATCATCATTCTCATCAGCATCATCATCAGCAGCATCATCATCGTCACCACCGCCACCACCCCCATCATCATCATCAGCATCATCAGTAGCATCAGCATCATCATCGCCATCATCAGGATCAACATCATCATTAGCAGCAGCATCATCAGCATTATCAGAATGACCATCATCATCAGCAGCATCATCATCATAATCATCAGCATCACCATCATCATCAGCATCACCGTCATCATCATCGGCAGCAGCATCATCATCATCAGCATCAGCATCAGCATCAGCAGCATCACCCGGATCATCATCAGCAGCATCAGCATCATCATCATCATCATGATCTGGATCATCATCAGCAGCAGCATCATCAGCATTATCATCAGCAGCAGCATCATCATGATCATCAGCAGCAGCATCAGCAGCAGCACCAACATCATCGTCATCATCAGCATCACGTGCATCCTCATCATCAGCAGCAGAATCATCATCATCATCATTATCACCATCATCGTCAGCAGCATCATCACCACCATCAGCATACTCACCAGCATCATCATCAGCATCATCATCAGACTCATCATCACCAGCATCATCGCCATCTTCATCACCATCATCAGCATCATCATCATCATCATCATCATCACAATCATCATCATCAGCATCATCGTCATCTTCATCACCATCATCAGCATCATCGTCGTCAGCGTCATCACCATCATCATCATCATCATCATCATCATCATCATCATCATCTGCATCATCATCAGCAGCGGCATAATCATCATCATCACCATCATCATCATCATCATCATCAGCAGCAGCATCATCGTCGTCGGCACTGTTAATAGTATCGCCACCACCACAACTATCACAACAAGTCATCATCTGCAACATCCTAATCAGCATGACCATCATCAGCATCATTATCAGAAACATCATAACTAGCATCATCAGTAGCAGCAGCATCATCAGTAACATCAGCATCATCATCATCGCCATCACCATCATTATCGTCATCACCATCACCATCATCATCAGCATCACCATCGTCAACATTGATCACCATCATTAACATAAGCCTCACCATCAGCATCGTCGTCATCATCGTCATCATCATCACAATCATCAGCCTACACATCATCGGTGTCGCTATTCTCACCAGTATTATCATTGTCATTGTCATCATCAGTATCAAACCATCAGCATCACCAGCAGCACCATCATCATCACCATCGCCATCGACGCCAACATCAGCATGAGCATCATCATCAATAGCATCGTCATCATCATCAGCAGCAGCATCATCATAATCAGCATAAGCAGCATCATCATCAACATCATCATCGTCAACATCATCACCATTATCGGCATCATTACCATCATGGTAATAAGCCGCCGCATATGTAGCAGTTTATGTGACAGTGATAAACATCACCCTGATAATCATCATCATCATCAGCAGCAGCAGCATCTTCATCACCATCATCACCACCACCACCATCATCGTCATGATCATCGTCGTCACCATCATCAACATAAGCAGGTTTATCAGCAGCAACAAAATCAGCAGCAGCAGCACGATCATCATCACCATCATCGCCACCACCACGATCATCGTTGTCCTCACCACCACCTCCATCACCACTACCATCATCACCATCATCAACATCAGCATCGGCATCAACATCAGCATCAGTATCATCCTCACCATCATCGTCATCATCATCATGACCGACTTCATCTTCACCATTACCGAAAGGAGGAGGGCAGGGGCATGGAAGGAGCAGGGTGGAGAAGCAGGAGGAGCCGCCTCATAGCGCACCTCATCATCACCCTAACGGGCGGGCTGGGCGGGCGGACCATCACGGGCGCGCGAGCGGGACATTGAATCGAGCGGGCGGTCCTTCAAGCCAGCGAGCGGACAAACACTAACGGGCGGGTCAGACGGCCGTCGCCTTTGATTCAGAAAGAAGGCGGCACTAGCCATGGCGGATTCTATGGACATCAGCTCAGGACCGCCCCCCGAGAGCTGGTGGGAGCGCCATCCCCGCGGCTGGAGGGAGGGAGGTTGAAGAGCAAAACACTGCACAAACAGAAGCTGTTGAACCCCGCGCGGATATCTTGAATCGGCGCCGGAGGCGCCGCCAGGGGGGTCCAGCGCAGATGAAAACATCCCCTGGAAGTGTCGAAAGCCACCTTTGCTTTTCCGAAGGGAGGGAGGGGCAGAGGAGACCGAGAATGCCGCTGCGGCCGAAAGGAGGCGCAGGGGGGAGGCGGTCGCAGTGGGCCACGGCCTCGCTCCCGACCGACAGACGCATCTGCCACGACTCCCGCTGGAGGCCGGAGCTCTCCGACGACCCCAGCGCCAGGACCGCCTCCGCGGCCGCCTGCGGGGGCAGGCAGAAGTTCGGTTCCCTGTTCTTCCCCTCCCCCGGCCCCTCCTCCGCCTCCTCTTCCTCCTGGGCCTCCTAGGTGTCTTCTCCATGTAATCCTCCCTGTCGCACCCCGAGGCCGGTCGGAAGGGCAGGCCAGGCGTTTCGCCTGAGACTTCCTTAACACTTGCGGCCATGATCCTTAAACATTGACACCAGTTTCACGGATGGAGGGCGGTTGGTTTTCGAAATGTGGCTCTCGCCTTAGCGCCGCGCACACTCGTCATAAAATTCGCAAGAGCTTCACGGATTGAGGGCGGATCGCTTGATTAATGTGGCTCTCTCCTTAGCGCCACGAACACTCGACTTAAAGATTTGCAAGAGCCTCACGGATTGAGGGCGGGTTGTCTGCAAAATGTGGCTCTCGCCTAGCGCCGCGAACAGTCGTCTTAAAAAATTCCAAAGGCTTCACGGATTGAGGGCGGGTGTTGTTTTTAATGTGGCTCTCGCCTTGGCGCCGCGCTCAGTCGTCTGAACAAAGTGCAAGGGCTTCACGGATTGAGGGCGGTTCCTTTTCACAAGGGAGCTCTCGCCTCAGCGCCTCGTCTCAGAAACAAAGTTCTGGAACGACTCAGGATTGTTTGGGCGCAACAAGTACGCTGATTCGCGGCAGTGATGTCCCAGGGGTGGTGTTCGGACACGGCTCTGGATCGTCAAGACGCAACAATCTGGTTCACCCGTGGCAATGAAGTCCCGAGAATGCTGTTACAGCACGCATCAGGATCTTAAAACGGTTGACTCCCAACGGGGCATTTCCTTCAGTGGGAATGAATCGTTGTATGGGGCCTACGTATGAAGAGGGAGCTTCGGGAAGGGTTAATTCAAACACCGTTGATGTGTTTTGGCTTTACACTGGCCCTCCTCCTGCTCATCATAATCCTTCTCCTCGTCCTCTTCCTCCTGCTCCTCCTGTTCCTCCTCTTCCTCCTCCTCCTCCTCCTTCTCCTCCTCCTCCTCCTCGTCGTCTGCCTCCTGTTCCGCCATCCCATCATCATCCTCAACGTGTTCGTCCTCTTCCTCCTCCTCCTCCTCCTCCTCCTCCACCTCCTCCTCCTCCTCCTTCTCCTCCTTCTGTTCCCTGTCCTCTTCTTCCTCCTCCTCCTCCTGCTCCTCCTCCTCGCCATCCTCCTCCTCCTCCTCCTCTCCCTCCTTTTTGTTCCTCGTCGTCTCCCCTACTCCTGTTCTCTCATCCTCCTCATCTCCCCCCCCTTCCGCGTCCCTCCTCCTACTCCTCCTCCTGGCAGCTCGACGGCGACGTGGCGTTCAGAGGCCACCCAGAGCTCGAGCGCAACAAGGCGCTCCGAGGGCAGCCGGGAGAGGCACGCGGCTCGGCGTGAGGCTCGCAGGCGGCGGGGAGACACGAGGGCGGCGTGCGGTGCGCGAGCAGAGAGCGAGGCTCGTGAGCGGCCTTGCGCACGAGGGCAGCACAGCACAGTCGGACTTGATTGGAGAGGACACGCGAGAGGACACAACACCCTTCCGAGGGCCACACTGCAACAGGAATGCATGAGGCATGGGTCGCGAAGCACAGGACACAGGGGTACCCTTGATTTGGCAGGGTCGACCTACTAATCCGCGCCGACTGCACGTCAGACGCCGACGCTGACGCTGTCCACAAGAATGTCCACGCTCCGGGCTCGTCCTGGTCCCCATGTATCGTTCCCTCCCGGATGGTCCATCTTGTGGGCCTCTCGGCGGGGCAGGGCATGTGTGAGCAGAGGTTCCTGCTCGATCACGCCTGACGCTGGAGGGCCATCGACATGCACGCACGCATGTGATCTTCAGTCGATGTGCCGTCTGGACACGGCTCCTCACCGGTGAGGAGCCGCGATCACCGAGGGAACCGAGCGGGGCGGGGCCGGAGCGCACAGGAGCAAGCCAGACAGGTGCGGCTGGAGGCACGTGGGCTAAACGGGCACTCTCCAGTGCGGCAGTAGGCAGAGTAGGTGCAGGGTTAGGTCGGGCATGTCCTCCGACAGGCGGATTTGGGAGGAGAAATAAAAAATCAAAGACAACAACAACAACAACAACAACAACAATCATTTTACCCGAACGCTCAGTGTTCTCACCAGTGCCAGGGTTTTCATGCGACGCGAGACAATACCCCCACTTCGTGGGGGGGCAGTTCAAGCTCTACCAAATATCCAAACGACTCTTCGCGACCACCCAAACCCAGCTTCCCGCCCTATGACGTTGGGACACTTCACTTCGTGGCGTGCGGACGACCGTGGCTACTACACTGGCGTGGGGTACACACCCACAGAACTTGGTCACTTATTCGGGGCGCGCGTGTGCCCAGCATCCTGCAATTGTGACATACAATACATGACACAGACAGACAGAGAGAGAGACAGAGAGCAGACAGAGAGAGAGACAGAGAGAGCGGAGTTGGTCACATTTTTGGGGCAAGTTCCTGAGATCGTCGTGTTTTTTGTTGGTCTTGCGCGCGCGAATGTCCACTTTACTTTTTTTTGCAAGGGAGTATTGAAATTTGATTATGTTAGAACAAGAAAAAGTAGCTCGCGCGAGCTCATGTAACATAAATGTTGAAAAACCATTGGTTTTGTGGGAGTCGGACAGCGCGCGCGGGATGAAATTTGGACATTTTTTTTTGAAAAACCATTGGGTTTTTGATGTTTTTATGTTGAAATCGCTACGAAACCTAAGGTTCTGGAAGGATTTCGTCTTGCGCGCGCGAATGTCCACTTTACCTTATTTTTTGCAAGGGATTATTGAAATTTGATTATGTTAGAACAAGAAAAAGTAGCTCGCGCGAGCTCATGTAACATAAATGTTGAAAAACCATTGGTTTTGTGGGATTCGGACAGCGCGCGCGGAAGGACATTTTGACAATTTTTTCTTAAAAAACCATTGGGTTTTTGATGTTTTTATGTTAAAATCGTTACGAAACCTAAGGTTTTGGAAGGATTTCGTCTTGCGCGCACGAATGTCCACTTTACCTTATTTTTTGCAAGGGATTCTTGCAATTTGATCAAGTAAGAACAAGAATTTTCATTTTATAGTGTTTTTTGCAAGGGAAAACGGATTACAACAAAACAACCGGATCCGGACACAATCCACTTTTCTGAAGCTTTCGCTAGAAAATGAAGGAAATGAGGCTGCGGCCTAGGTTTTGGAGGGGGGTCGCGCACCAGGGGTCTCAACAATAATATTTCTTTAGAAGTAATAATATTCAACAACAACAACAACAACAACAACAACAATCATTTTACCCGAACGCGTGGTGTTCTCCCAGTGCCAGGGTTTTCATACGACGCAGCAATACCCCCACTTCGTGGGGGGGCAGTTCAAGCTCTACCAAATATCCAAACGACTCTTCGCGACCACCCAAACCCAGCTTCCCGCCCTATGACGTTGGGACACTTCACTTCGTGGCGTGCGGACGACCGTGGCTACTACACTGGCGTGGGGTACACACCCACAGAACTTGGTCACTTATTCGGGGCGCGCGTGTGCCCAGCATCCTGCAATTGTGACATACAATACATGACACAGACAGACAGAGAGAGAGACAGAGAGCAGACAGAGAGAGAGACAGAGAGAGCGGAGTTGGTCACATTTTTGGGGCAAGTTCCTGAGATCGTCGTGTTTTTTGTTGGTCTTGCGCGCGCGAATGTCCACTTTACTTTTTTTTGCAAGGGAGTATTGAAATTTGATTATGTTAGAACAAGAAAAAGTAGCTCGCGCGAGCTCATGTAACATAAATGTTGAAAAACCATTGGTTTTGTGGGAGTCGGACAGCGCGCGCGGGATGAAATTTGGACATTTTTTTTTGAAAAACCATTGGGTTTTTGATGTTTTTATGTTGAAATCGTTACGAAACCTAAGGTTCTGGAAGGATTTCGTCTTGCGCGCGCGAATGTCCACTTTACCTTATTTTTTGCAAGGGATTATTGAAATTTGATTATGTTAGAACAAGAAAAAGTAGCTCGCGCGAGCTCATGTAACATAAATGTTGAAAAACCATTGGTTTTGTGGGATTCGGACAGCGCGCGCGGAAGGACATTTTGACAATTTTTTCTTAAAAAACCATTGGGTTTTTGATGTTTTTATGTTAAAATCGTTACGAAACCTAAGGTTTTGGAAGGATTTCGTCTTGCGCGCACGAATGTCCACTTTACCTTATTTTTTGCAAGGGATTCTTGCAATTTGATCAAGTAAGAACAAGAATTTTCATTTTATAGTGTTTTTTGCAAGGGAAAACGGATTACAACAAAACAACCGGATCCGGACACAATCCACTTTTCTGAAGCTTTCGCTAGAAAATGAAGGAAATGAGGCTGCGGCCTAGGTTTTGGAGGGGGGTCGCGCACCAGGGGTCTCAACAATAATATTTCTTTAGAAGTAATAATGTTCAACAACAATAATAATAATAATAATAATGATGCTAATAATAATAATGATAATAATAATAATCATCATGATAATAATAATAATTTAAATAATAATAATAATACTAATAATAATAATAATAATAATAATAATAATTTTAAGACTGTTCGCCCTTATATGCTCGAGCGTCCAATAACGCGTATTTCCCAAACCCTCGATACCCGCCCTCTTCGTCTTCGATCGAGCCCCTTTTGGGGGGGAGATCTTTCTTCCCTACAGGCCGGGCCCCGGCAAGCGGCGGGGCGGCCGCGGACCGTCGGCCTGGCCAACGGCAGCGCTGATCGTTTCGATCGAACCCCTTTTGGGGGGGATACCTTTCTTCCCTGCAGGCCGGGCCCCGGCAAGCGGCGGGGCGGCCGCGGACCGTCGGCCTGGCCAGCGGCAGCGCTGATCGGCGGGGCGGCCGCGGACCGTCGACCCGACTCCAAGAGAGACGGACAAGGGACCGACCACGACGACGACGACGACGACGACGACGACGACGACGACGACGTCGAACACGACGGCGACGACGACGACGACGGCGACGACGAGCGAAAGCG